AAAACTAAACAGCCTACAGTATTTTTACAGTCTTTATTTTACAGTTAAAATATATGTATCAAATAAAGTTTAATGTTACAACTAATTGTGGATCCCTTTAAAGTTACCACATAACCAACAGTCATGTTTTTTGTTTGTGTGACAAAACCGGAGTACCCAGAGAAAACCCACGCATGCACGGAGAGAGCATGCAAACTTTACCCAGAAAGCAGAAAGGTCCTTCCTTTCGATTTGATCATTCCTTAAACATTTTACCATAATTCTATATCATTTTCTGTAGAGGGCATCAGGTTTAGTTGATGCTTTTCATCCACATTGGGCTCTGCAGCCTTTTGGTTAGTGAGTCTTACAGCCCATCATCACACAGACAGAAGGTACCGTGTTCATGTGTGTATAATATGATTAAAGCAGTGTTTCTCCTACCATTGTACCAGGAGGGCAGCCCGACCCTCCCAACAGAACTGACCACTCGCCTAATCCCCAACCCAACCCCCTTATTCATAATATTGAGGGTCGGATTAATTACAGGAGCAAATTTTGACTTTTTTTTCCCCCTAATGTACCACAGTACGCTTCAATGGTGTCTAGTGCTGAAATATTACAATACTGCAGATAAACCTTCATAATTTCTCCCTCCCTCCTGCTGTATTTTACGCAAAGCATTGGATAAACAACTGTGGTGGGAGATTTACAGGCAGAAAACCTACATTTTTCTTGTTATCTGTGGAGATGAAAAGATGTGATTTACCAATCAGCTCCTGCTCTGGGAGTGCAGCAGATCCTTTTCAGCAGCATGTGAAAGCTCAAGTATATATGGGATATGGCAAGCCGTTTTGACATTTAATCAACTTCATCACACTTAAGTTCCAGGTACATCCAGCTGCCCTCCCAGGGCTTTAGGGAAACAGAGTATCTTGCAATCCCCATGTTTTTTTATAGCTTAAAAAGCATAAAAAATAGTTAATCTTTGTGTTTAATGTTACCCCTAATTTCATTCATAGTTTAGGATTTTTCAGCCCTCTCACTGTGTACTCTCTAGTGGGGAAACTGATTATTTTGGGGACACAACTTTTCAGTTATACACAAGAAAATACTGAAATTTATTGTGATAGTATAATACAGAGTCGTTTAAAATTTACTCCCATGCATAATTTGACTCTCCCAGCTTTATGGAGGATATTTGGGGTTTACTTTTCTGCATTATAGACACATAAATACAGTACATTTGTTGTCTCTTAATATTTTATTATCCGTGAGGGTCAGGCAAAGACTCATTATCTAATGTAGCTGTGAATGTTGCCATTTTTCTCTTTTTAACGTGCATGGTGTTGAATCAGTTTGCACATTTTTATAGCTATTTATTGTGTGTTTGCAAACATAAAACGGGGAAAGCAAAGTCCTTTTGTATAAATGCAGTCCTGATGAATTTGTTCTTTTGCTTCCATCATTCTGGGGTGTGGTTTTTGAAAACCCATGTCTGTGTGGCACATGTCCAACTCCATCAGTGATTATTGAACCACCCGAGGGAGCATAATAATAACAGACTGGTCTGTGCAGCCATGTTTGCAGAACTGTTTTATGAAATAGCCTTATATAACTTACAGACCGCTGTTTGGCTAGTTATTTTTTTATCATGCAATGTTTGATCACGAGAGATCACATTCAGGTCAGGCATAAGCAGTAACAATTTTTGAGAAATGTTTTGATAATAGTTTAACTTCAAATATTCCACTTCCCCCTCACTGCTCACCTTGTCCCGTCTGTAATGCCTCAGTCACTGCAGCAAAAATAAGACCAACTCATCCTTCTCACAGCATGCTCTTTATGCTGTTACTCATACGGGGCCAATTAATATGGCACAACAACAAACTTTAAAATATGACAATCTTAATGAGCTGTAATCTCAGATGCTACTTTATAATTTAAACCAGTCGTTCCCCAAACTTTTCAGCTTCTGACTCACAAAATAACAGTTCCAGAGGCTTGTGAATCTAATTATAATCACTTAAACATAATTTTTACAGCTAAAAAACCCTGGTAGACAAGGGCTTAATGACAATACAGACCATCTCAACAGTGGATCTGTTTTTATTTGTGCTTTACAGTAATTATTAGGTCTGTGTATTGGCAAGAATTTGGCGATACGATACATATCATGACAGAGGGGTCACGATACGATATATACCGATATATTTCGAAACTGTAAACAAGGTGATATAT